TGGAATACATTGTAAGTTCAGAAAGCTTTTGTTCGAAAACTTCTGGCCAAAGTCTACAAAACAGTGAAAACTACAGTTTTCTAGCTGCTTTCGTTCTCGAGATATTCAAAAAATATTAAGATACATTTTATTTTGACGCCGATAATAGTTTTCAGGCATTGGCATACATGGTTGTAGTGTTGCAGTGCCTGTCAATGTTTCTGCAGATCTCTTATAGTGCGTAGAATATCGATTATCTTGACTCCGTCAACATAACAGAACACAAAAAAAAAATAATTTTCGCTGCGAGATTTGTTACGGTGTAAGCGACAAAAAAAACTCGTAATTCATTTTTTGTTCTTTACACGACTCAGTCAGCGAGAAAAAAATACTGCCGCACACCTTTGCTTTTTATGTCATGTTTGACATTGTTATAGGTTTAGTGAAAGAAGAATGATGGATTCACTGACTGCATTACACTATAGCTACCCACGGAATTTGTATGATCAACAAACACGTTTGATAGATCTGGAAACAATTTTACGATTATTGTGATAGGTATGTAATGATATGAATTTTTTATATAAATTAATTTTAGTTTGGTTTGCTTAAAATCTTCATAACGAAAACGACAACAATTTAACTATCAGACTGTTTACTCGTTATACCACAAACCACGCCAAGTTTTTCAGAGTTGAAGAACTGCATTGTTATCACTTCAATAATTTTAGATAAAAAATTTCGTGTGTAGCGGAAAGTACAAGTATTTAATATTATGTCATCAGATCTGTTACCTCAACCGCGGGCTGTATATGATCGGAATACAACATTGTGGCCGAACATGGATGAATGTTTCTTTCGTAATTGTGAAATTCAGCCTATTCTTCAGAGAGGGCCACACTGTGTGTCGACAGTTCTTGCTATGCTAACCGGAAAGGAACCTAAAGATTTTCAAGGCAAGATGAACACGCAAGACCCATCGTCGTGGTCGCAAGTGCTACAGCCGTACGAAATGAAGTTAGCTTATTGTCCGGTGGATGTGCGCAAACTGAAATTCTATATGAATGAATTGATTGCAATAAATGATCTCTTTACATTAAGCTATTATACAACTCTTGATTCCAATGAGATTCTTGGGAATCCGGATAGTACAGGCTGGATAACTGGTTCGCACATTGTCATTTTACATCGAGATAAGATTCTTGATCCTATTTTGGGAACAACGACGCCAGCACTTGAACATCACTGCAACGAATACCATACAAAACGTATTTTTCGCGTTGTCCCCAGTAATCATGTTCGTGGACTTTGAGTATAGTTAAAACTATTTCTTTGACTAATCTTTTTATTATTTATGCGTCGCAAAAAAATACACTAGAAAATGCTCTTAGAAATTTTTCATAGAATAAATGAAGAAACGAAAATTATTTTGTTTTTGTATCTTCAATTTTTCAGTACATTATTTCAATGTAAAGTATGGTTTTAGCATTCCGAAATGTGTTGCTATAGTAAGGTCTCAACTTTATAAAGATGTTAGAAATAATTTATTAATAATTAGAATAGTATGTGGTGGGTACTATATATCTTCCCGTTTGTCACCGGCAGTAGTAACATTTTGAAAACCACGAACTGCAGTAGAAATTACTTGAAGTCTTGAAAGATCATGTTTTGTTACGAATTTTTGGTATTTCTTGTTTCGAGTCATATAGTCTACTGCAAGTCTCTTGCTAGCTTAAGACGACGTTAGCGTTGTTACGTTGCATGTTATTTCACAGGGCGTTTCTGGTAATGAATAATGGCTGCTCTAATGGCATTTCGCGAGTCCGACAAAGTTGTTTTTGCTGAAAATTTGCTTGTATTGTTTGATCAGCCCGTATTCTAGTATGTATGTGAGGTTGCGAACATGAGATATTATTTTTATTTTGTGTTCCAGAAGAAATTCTTGTCTAACTATTCTGCAACCTTGTTTGTCACTCTTCGAAATATGTGCACGACAACATTCATTGATCGTTTGATAAAAAATAAGTGAATGTGGATCTTGCTTTCATGCTCGCGATCATACTCAATCTTTCTCTCATCGGAGATCATCTATTGTTCTATAGATAACCCGGTGTTTTTATAAATAAAGCAACGGTGAGAAAAACAATTCTCTTCACAAATATCCCGATAAAACCTCCCGAGAAAGATGAAGAAAAACGTAGATCACTGGGAAATGGGAGCATCAATACAAATTGAAAAGTTCATTTATTTATTACTAAGTCTTTCAGTCTTGTTTCGTCTTCAATTCAGTTTTTAGAAATACAGGGTGATTGAAAAGTAACTCCCTATTTTAAATTCTTTATTATTCTCAAACAACAAAAGATGTTGTCCTGATTTTTTCACCATTTTGAAGCATGGACATTGGCACTTTGTTCTAGATGAAACAAAT